TGTTGCATAGCCATTGCAGTCACTTCCGTAGAGATCTGACAAGCTAATTGAAATTTCATTAGCGTTGTCTATGCAGTACCACCACCCCCTCCCCGGCTCGCTCTCTCTCCACCCACCACACACAGTAATTTGAAATTTATTATTAATAATTCATAACACTCCAAGTCAGCTGTAGTTGAAGTTCGGTTTTTTTTTTTTGTTGGCTGATAAGATTGTTGCAGCTGCTCAGAAATGCACGAGAGAGAGGCTCAACATTTTTTCTTGGGTGCTTAATTTTTCTTTTATTTTTCATTGAAAAAATTATCTATGATCAGCAGAGACCCAAAAATGTAACCGTATGAGATATGACCAAATACAAAGTACAAATTAAAAAAACTGACTATAGAGAGCTGGGCAATTGATAGGAAGTGTACATGTTGTGCTGAGGAAGTTAGATGCAAGTTTTCAGATGTGACAACACATGAATAAGAGATGAGAAACAAGCATCAAGATTGAAGATCGATTATAAATAGTTTCTGAGCTCAAGTTTTTGTATTATTCAACAATTATAAGTTTGTTGATTTGTGGTACTCAAATGCTTACAAAGCGCTTAAAAACCTAGGTTCCGAGATAATATAATTTATATTTTTTAATTAATATGCATCAATTTGGGTTGTTATCAATAAAGCTGACCTTAGAGAGAAGGGTCGTTAGTGAAAACTAATTTGTATTTAATTATCTATTTCAAATGTAGACCAAAACATCACAACTGAGAAACTGATGCTCCATTTCTCAATGATGATTTTTTTTGAGAAAAATCTAAATACATTGTAGAAAAAATTAATCGATTGTTTTATATACATCACATAATATAAAGAATGAAGAGTCGGTCTACCTGAAAAATGTTCTAAAATTAAAAGCAGGGTGCAAAATCTTAACATCTATTATATATTAATAAATTTATTATATTCTTTTATTCAGCTTCAATAAAATAGAATTGAACATGAACAAAAATTTATTTTGCAAATCAATTTGAAAGTGCTTAAATCTCATTTTGTATTAATATATTAAAACTAATTAGAATGTTTATATCATGTTTAAAATAAAATAATTTTTCTTAAAACTCATTTCAAAATTCAATAAAAAAAATAAAACTTGTGTCAAAAACAAATTATCTTAAAATCAATTTTAAAGTTCTTAAGCAGTTCCCCATGTCTGGCGTTTCTTTTCGTCTTCAACTGCCTTTGGCCCATCAAGTTTAATAAACTCTTTTTGATATTCTGCCAAACTCTAACTGCAATTTGTATAGAATATTCGTAAAGACGCTGCTGCGCTGTCTGTCATTAAGAGGATAATCAAATTAAACTCTTACAAATTAGAAAAACACATGAGCGCTGGGTTCACGTTTATCGCTGGTGTCATGAGTCGCAGCAAACATGCAACATGCAACAGCAACTGAAAAGGAGACACAGCAAAGGCGTTCTATGTGTGTGTGTGGGGCGGGAGGAGGAGACAATCGGACTGATAGCTACGACAGACAGGCAGGCAGACAGACAGACAGACGACCCAAAACCAAAAACCAAACCAAGTCATAATGAAAACCAAAGCAAACACCCGCAATCTCACACACACACACACATGCGCGAGCAGCTATTCAATTATGGGTGCGCCCAGGGCACACACACACACATGCAGGAGAGTTTAGGTTGGGTTTTGGGGTTTACCATGGGGGGGTCACAGGCAGGACCGACGGCAACGACAGATGTCATTTGGCTTTTGTGGCACAATATTATGATAATTGTTGTTGTTGCCATATGAAAATACATTCTGAATTATCAATGCAGGTAATTGCAGCTTATCAGTTATGCTTATGGCTTAGAGAAAACAACAGTGTGTGGTGCGTGTCTCTCTGAGTGTGCGTGTGTGTCTGAGGTGTGTGTGCATGCAGCTACATAGCCAGCCCTTTATATCAATAACAATAACAACAATTGTTATTATAGTGTACTTATATGCATTGCAATATAAACGAGCTAAAGTGAAGTCGCAATGCACCCCTCCCCGCTCTCGGACACAATCTAACAACGCCCCGCCGCCCAACTGTCTGACAATGCATTTGCCGTAATTGCATTTCATTGATTTTTCCTTTAAGCTGCCAACTGTCTGGCCCGGCCTTTTGCACAATTTTCATTTTCATTACTCAGTAAATAAACACGAATTCGTTCGGTCATATGAAAGAGAGTGTCAAATATGTCATAATACTTATCTAAATTGCCAACACACACAAACACAGACAGTTACAGACTCCTTGGGAGATCCGAGCTCTCTTTAGTCTACCACGCCCACGGTGCTTTGGCTCTTTAAATATTTATCGTTTTCGAGTTTTTAGTTAGTCGAAACCGCCCACCCATTTGAAGGCCACCCATGGTGCTAGCCATCAACTAGCAATCTATTCAAATGCCGATTTCATAGATACTTCGACTCAGACCAACAACAGCAACAACATTTTAGCCATTCGATTAGCATTGCAGCTGGTTGTAGTTGTTGTTCTTTTTTATTATAATTGCAAAAGTTATCGAATGCAATTGCTACTGTTATAGTTTGGCGTAAGATTTGATTCGCATTTTTAGAGATTATAATATGCAATAATGGTCAGTTTAAAGTATAGTATATGATACCCTGTAAATATTAAACATGCAACTTAAATTGGGCTGCAAAATAAATGATATGATGTATCTAAAAGTAGTTCAATTCGATTTAAATTTTAATATTTTCTGTCAAGGCATCGCAATTACTGTTAAATTTATATTTAAATATAAGGCGCAAAATCTATCAATATTAAGCTGACCTGCTCGAGGTTAATGTGGATTATTTTTTATATAAATAATATTTAACTCTAGCATTACCTTGTCACTTTATCGAAGCATTAACTTGTTTATAATTACAAGCGTGGAATAGCAAAAAAAAAAATACTAAATGCATACCAGAGTCCCTTTTCAAAGTATTTTACCCTGCAGTATAAATTATTAATAATAAATATTTATATTTTTTATACTTCGTATATATCCGTGAATTAGGTTTTGTGTATAGTTTATCTCATAGCCAATAACTTTTACCTAGAGATCTTGTTAAGATTTAAAACAAAATTTGATATTGAGCTGTGAATTTACAAGCGCATATTTAGAAAAACCCCTCACTAAGCATTTATTTATATTGTGTGTAAATTATCAATAGGATCTGTGGCACGTACTCAAGTGATAAGTGTGAAAAACTGATAACAAAATAAATATATATGTATATAAACGGAGTGATAATCTAGCAATAAAATAAATTTGGGTCGACACATATTGATAAAGAACTCAACTGGCATTACAAGATATTTATTACCTATTATATTTATATAAGGTAAATAATTAAATTATAGTTACAAAAAAGGAAGAAAAAAAATCTTTATAAATATTTCATTTATTCACACTTATTTATTAATTTCCCATTTATAATCTGGCCTAACCGCAACTCTAAATTCCTTTTGGGCTATTTATTAAAATTTATGCAGTGCCATGAATTTATGTATTTATTGCAATAACTGTCAACAATTCTTAGCATTCTTATGCACCCTCTCCAAAAATTATTGATTTATATAGTTAGCTAATTACCTTTTTGCAATAGGATAATCGAACGATATCAATTATGCATTTAAGTGTGCGGCAAATGAAATTCAAGTGGCAGGCGAGAGCTCCAATAACACCTCACATGAGAAATTCAATAGCTCTATATATATACATATATATATACATACATACGAATACTATTAAATAGCTGCATAGATATCTACGCATGTGAGCTCTCGTTTGTTATTGCTATTGATTTTGCATATTAGCAAGCAGTCATCAAATTTTCTCCAACAAAATTTTCTCATGCAAGTGAAATTGAGTCATTGAGTCAGCCAAAAAAAAGCAAGCTGAACGAAGTTTGAATACTCTTCATAAATGATTTTAAGCCAAAGAAATGTTAAGGCTATTAAATATTTTATATGCCATATTTATGGCATAAGCCCAACTAAGAGAAAATAAAATGAAATTAAATAAATGGAAATATTTTCAATTTGTAACAAGAATCATATATATAGATATATTCAAATTGGATATAATCAGTTCAGCTTAACCGATTTCTTGTACTTTTAAAAATACCTATTTGGTCATTTATAAATATACTTATTGCATTTCAAATTGCATGATAATTCGTAAATACCCTTTAGTAGTGCATTTCAAAAGCTGCGAACAAGTTGTTGTCAGCGTTGTCTTCCACATAAGACTTGATTTGTCGTCGAGCTGTGTGTAGTAAACTACGAGAATGTGCAGTGCAATCAAAGTATTGTGTTTGTTTATTGAATTCGGCCCTACGCTCTATTATTTGTTTATCTAATTTCGGTGTAAAATGGAGCTGTCGGAATCGACAGTGCTAGTAGGCCCATGCCCAGACGCAGACACCTAACCAGACCAAGAACCAAAACCAGCAAATTCCAAATGCCTGACTGTCTGCATAATTGTGTGCTTAACGCGTGCGCTTGTATTTATGTATATACCAAATATATATGTCTGTATCTGTGTGACAACTCAAACAAATGCAATGTGAAAAAACAACAACAACAAACACTGCAGCCAGCAGCGGCGTGTGGAATGGAAGCGCGAGCCGCAGCACCGCAGATTGCAGGGCTGTCAATGGGACGCTTCATATCGCATTGGACACGAATCATATTATCAGCTGCCAGCGGACAACAACATGCAACAACAACAACAAATCCCCAATGCATTTGACGACAAACAGGAAAATAGGACTGTGCCACAACGAATATTAAATACTCCAACTGAACATAGGGAAGAAATTGAAACAGTATTTCTTATAAATGTAATCTACAATTAGTAAAGAGAAAGGTTTAAAATATTTTCAAAATTAATTCTATTTATTAAATATTTAATAATTAAAAAATTATATTATAAATTTATAATATTAAATACACTTACCCAAGTCAGCCATTGTTGGGGAATTCTATAATCATCATCAATAATAATATGTTCATATCTGAAAAAGAGAAATGTTTTTACTTGGTTAATTTTAAAGATATAAATAAATATAACGAATTAAATAAAAAACCAGAATATATAAAAATATGAATTTAATTTAAAACTCTCTCTCTTCAGCAAATTTATAACAAAACAAATCACAAAAAATTAAATTGATTATTTTTCAAGTATATACAAAAGATTTATTCGTTTTACATACAACTCTAGGGAATTAATAATAATTAATTATTATGCATGGGTAGTGTATAAAAACAACGCCCCGCTTTATTTTGCAGTTGTTCCACAGTTTTGAACTGATTTTCGATTTCGTAGAGCCCTCTCGAGTGCGTCTTCTATCATATCGCGTACGCTGTAATGAGTTATGTACGCGATCTTATCCAGGAAATTCAGTCATAGAAGTCACTCTTCCTTTTTTTTTTATTTAAGTCTACGGCTGTGATTGTGGCTGCTGCAGCGAGGGGCAAATAACTGAGGCCTGTAATCAATGCGTCGTCACATTGAACGGCGATTGGGCGAACGTCGACAAATGGTTTGTTTAAGTTCGGTTCACTGCTGTTTATTTATACATCAGATTGGTTGCTGTTGTTGTTGATGTTGTGTTTGCAGTTACATCAACGGAAATGCATTTAAACAAAAACTTTTACTGGGTCGCAATGCGTGTACAAAGATAGCGAAAGTATTTAATTAGCCTGCATTTAAAAGTAAACATCATTGAAGCATCTTAAAGTTAACAATCAGCATTGAATTTATCAGGCTAAATATCAAGAAAATCGCAGCAATGCACATTATCTGTTTAGGATAAAAATAAACCACAGTCTAATTAAAAAACTTTTCAAATGAACTTTGTTGAAAAGTAAAATTTAAATCTCTTTATAAATTAAAGATCTGACAATGATATCCGTCTAAAGTATCAACAATCAATTCAACTCATCAAGAACTTATAATAATATACAATTATTAAAAGTAATTTTTAAAACTATATGTAGAAACTTTTATTAGAGCATGTAAACATTAAATTTTATAATATAAACGGGGCTCATTCTTTCCTTTTAATTGAATTAATTTACCTAGATATTTGTTATTTCTTTACAATAATTAATTAATTAAATTAAATTATTTTTTCATTTTATTAATTTAATTAGTTATTTTTTATTTCATTAAAGTATTAACTATTCCATGCTCTCGTCTCATAGATGCACTTGGTAATTGGGTTGTTTAAAAGATGGGTTGCTTAAAAAAAAATGAAATGAAATGTAAGCCAAATTTCCAGGAAATTGATGTGGGTTAACAAAACAAGTGAAAAGCCTCTTGATTGATATTCGAACATAAGTTAAAGGTAAACAAAGTGTTTTTTTTCACGATATTTATGAAATATGTGTGAAATATGAAGTAAAGTAGCCAAGCAAATTCCTTGCCGCAGCGCAAATCTTAATTAAAGATAATTTTAGAGGGAAACGTGTTTAAAGTACGAAACGCATGCAACTGTGTAAATAAGATGGAAGCACGAAAATCTTTTAAATATATTATTGTATTTGTATTTAATGCTCCATATTTTTCAGTGCATGCATATTGCATATTGCACATGGCCGTGTTTACCATTGCAATTATTGACGCACAGGCGAAATGCAACCCCAGAGATTAAAACAAGAAATATATACAGAAAAAAAGGGGGAAAAAAATCAGTTGCAGTTGATATTGATGCCAAATGTAAAGGAGTGCGGTCGGGGGTGGGGGGAATAGCGTGTCTGGATGGGTCAATATGTCACAACTGTGCATTGTATTTGCACACGGCATAAGGAACAAGGCAAACGGTTAAAAAATAAAGTGTATGCTATATAAACTCAAATATCGCACTGCGAATTGCATTGCATTCAAACATAAATATTTAAAAATGATTTTTACGCGACCAACGATTTGTGACAGTAATTTTTTCTTTTCGTTTTCCGTAGTATTTTGTTCGCCGTGATAACAGATTGGTTTGGATTCGAGTTTTGGGTTGGGTTGGGTTCGCAGCGGAACGTGTGTGCACGGTACCCATCAAACTAGGGTGAGAAAAAAGTCGTACAAACAAACAGACAGACAGCAAGGCAGACATGCGGACAGAGAGACGGACAAACGGATGGCTGAACGGGGCTTGTCAATTATATAGACAGACAGTTGGACTGAACAGAGTAGTTTCTTTTTTAATTTTTGTTTTTCGTTTTTCCTGCTTTTATTGTCATCGTATAATAGAGGCAAAGTTAAAGGTAGAAATGCCGCCACGCAAGTAACTCACATATCTAAAGTTGACACTTGTTGCGTGTTGCATACAGGGCAAAACACGGCGAGTGCGGGGCAGGGCATGGGGGGAGCGGAGAATTGTTGGCAATGATTTGCGTTTTTAATGGCTTTTACAATGGAAGACGCCACCGCAAATAGCGGAAGACTGAAAAACCAAATCCGTAAAGGCAAATGTGTTGCGGCTAAATGCTAAAATTTTTATTGTTCGACTTCAAAAGGCGCTGGGAATTGCAAAGACAACAAAGATCAAAGTCGAAGAATGGGCAAAAGGGTGGAGCACCATGCGAATGAATCACAAACAACAAACAACAGTAAATACAAAGTGACAAAAAGTCATCTCTAAGTGGAAAATGCCCAGCAAAGAGTCAATGGAAATGTGCCGAGCAATGGGCCATCATAGCATAAGTAAATATCTAAAATTGTGCATAATGACGCTAATTAGCTGGGAAGACGCCACGAGCATTGTTAACAGGTAGGCGTGGTCATACGTACGACGGGGCGTAAGAGGGCCAACAAACGGAAATAAACAATAAAAGCAAATTTGTGTGACAGAAATTATTTAATAGCTCAATTTTTACTAGTGAGCCCTGAAAGCGCCACCCGGTGTGACGAAAATGTAAATGCACTGAGCGAAATCTAACATGAGTTGAGGTCTTCTATAGCTAAGAAATAAATAATTACTAGATTTGCGTTGTTAAACATGCAAATGCACTGAGCGAAATCTAACATAGGTTAAGGTGTCTTCGATTTAGGAGATAAATAGTTACAAGATTTGGTGTGTTAAATGTGCAAATGGACTAAGCGAAATCTGGCATAAGTTAAGCCACATTTGGTATATAAAATATGCAAATGCTTTAAAAGAAATCACACGTTATATCTAGAGCGCCACCAAGTGTTTAGAAAATGTATATACACTGCGATAAATTAAGCTTAAGTTAAGCCCGTTCCCACGGGTGAGGTACAAGATTTTAGATTTCTTAAAGATTAAGCATAAGATTTCTTAAGCTTAAATATTCTTAATAATATTTTTTAAATAAGGTAATTACATAAGGCAGATAACCTAAATATAAACTCCATTTTTTTTTTAATTTCATTACATCTAAAGAGTAGAATATGTTAATATAACCTTTCCCAAAATTAAGGTTCTAAAGTACAAGCTTCAGCAATATTTTTGACACAACTATTTTATATTAATAAGAAAACTAATTCTAATTCTTAATTTCATGGCATTATAGAAAAAACTCTATAAATTGCTTAGAAAATTATAAAAACCGTTGTTTTTAATTTCAGCATGCACTTAAATCTAAAATAAAATATTTAGAAAAACTTTTCCAAGATGTGATAAAATTATTAGTTTCTCTCAGTGTAGATGGCGTACTTGTACGTGCTGCGGTCACAACCGCTGGCAAATGCATTTTGTCTGCGTGTGTGCGTTTGTCTTTCCCCCAAAAGGCATTGATTTGAAATCCGTTTGAAAGAAAATGAAAAATTAAAAATGTATGAGCTGTATTGGGTCAGTTTGCGGCTGGCAAAGCTGCAGTTTCCGCCCTGAGCCAGAAAGAAGAATTTATATAAAATCCGAATACAAGGCGAAGAACCGGAGAGCCGGAGAACTTCGAGTATAACTCACTTCCGTTTGGCATTTTGAGGTTTCTGTGGCTTTTGTGGACTTGTGAACGTAAAACGGACTTGACATTAATTTTCATAAATGCTCTGACTGCTGGTCTTAAGAATTTCACTTTAAAATTAATTTCGTTAAGATTTTCTGAGTTTCTTTGTTTACAATTAACAACAACAACAGCAGCCGCATGCGGGCGGGCGGGCAGGCGGTCCAACCCCTCCCCTCCCACCCACTCGCCCACAAAAGATTTCTCATTTTCATTCTCAGTTTCATTTTACATTTTTCAGGGCCGTGCAGTCCGGATGCATGCAATGAGATTTAATTGTTTATACATTAACACACAGACGATATGGCGGCTGAATGAGAAAATGAGCTTAAAGGGCATAATGGAGGGAGAGGGGGTAGGTTGGTCGGGGCATAAGATGTTTACATTAACCCGGAAAAACTCCCTCTGGGATCTGGCTTACAGCTTGCATCTTTAAGATACACTTAAGTGGCACATTTAAAACTTGATGAGAGGGCGGTGGGAGTTGCCTTCTGTGTGTTTATCTGCGTGAGTTACATTTGCTTATCAATGCGCCATGTAGCAGCTAATTAGCCGTGTCTTATCAGCCATTGCAGCTGTCTATTGCCTTACATTACTAATCAAGTGCATTGTTTACATTTATCAAGCAGTTCTTTCGACATCTTCTAATGAGTTTTTGCTTGCCTCTTGAAATATGAAGTAGCCAGCTCCTGGTTGCCAGTGAGTGTGCGTGTGTGTGTGTATATAGCTACCAGATATCTAGCTCTCGAAATAATTGAAGTAGGGCAAACTGCTGCAATTCAGAAAGCAAACATCAGCAACAGAAAGAAATTCATATGCTCTCAGCAAACGGCTTTCAGCTATGATATATAGAGATACAATACACATAGGAAAGAGAGTAATAGTGTAGTCGATTCTTGCGTCTATTTAAGAAAAGGACTCCATATTTATTCATTTTATTTTTCATGCACTCATATGAGTCAACCCCATCTTGTGAAAATACTCAGTATTCAGTGTATTTAGTATTTAATTTACTTAGGTTAGCTGTAGTATTATTCAAACTATCCTAAAT